TTTTAATTTACAGAGGAGATTTGCCTACTTGGCATTTTGCTGGGCATGATGGCAGAAGTCTGCAATCTCAGCAACTCAGGAAGCTAAGGCAGGATACCTGCAGGCTGAAGGTCAGCCTGGGTTACATAAGTGAATTCAAGGCCAGCCTGATTACACAGCCAGATCCTGTCTTTACAACAAAAAACTTTTGTGTACTTCCAGCGGGGGAAAATAAAAAAATTTTTACAACATTTCCATATCCTAAAACACCTATACTATATGAGAAAATACTACCATCCCTTCAGTTTGCTTCGAGCTACCTCAGAGAACAAATGGAGAAGTGACAGGAATACTCATAAAAACTTTGGCAAACATGAATAATTGCTGAATAAAAATCATGAGCACCAAGTGGTTCAGTGTATTCACTCCATTTATGAATGTTAATAAATTTCCATAGTAAAAAGGCAAAAACAAAAACAAAGAAAAACCCTACTCAAATTAGCTCTCTCAAATCTTTTTAATGCTAACCTATCACATACCTAACATAAATTTCTTCTTACAGAGTTCTTTCTACCTATACTACTAATTTTTAACAATTACTAACCTACTTTGCTACTTCAAGTTGTCATGGACCTATATACCTCCCTACAGAAAGCATCATACTGCAAGGTACTTGGCATAAAGGCAATTCATTCACTGGACAAGATCAGTTACAGTTGCCCACTATGGATCGATCCCACACTTCCTAACATATGGGATAAAAACATCAGGTCTCTAGCGCTAAAAAGTCAGTCTAGTAGAATCCAGTTAGATGAGCGTCTCTAAATACATAAATAAATCTCAGTTATTCCTCTGCTGAAAAGCTTTTGTTGGCTTGCCACTACAAGACACATAAAATTAAACTTCTTCACCTAGAACTCAATGTAAATTCCTAACGGTCCACATATGCCTACTTTCTAGCTCCTGGACTTTCCAAGCATTATTTCTCAATGTGCCTTTATGCCATTTCCTACGTCTGAAAAATTCTTATCAAAATCCTTCCACAGATTCTACCACAAATCTTTTCAAGGTCAATTTTATGCTTTCTTCGTGAAGCATCCCTACATCCTATCTCATAGCCTTGAAAATGTTAAACCCAAAGCCTTGCCTAAACAAATGCTACATTATCTTATTACCTATTTAACTGTCTTGATGTTTACATCCAATCACTTCTGATTTGAGGTTTTCAGTTTTACTTGGAATTCAACTCCAGTCTCAAAAATCAGTTGTTTTGACTATTGATAAATATTCCTGAATGTGTCAAAGATTTCCTCCCTTTTGAAATGCTAGGAGAAAGGACGAAATCCATTGTCCCTTTAAGTAATAAATTGTTAGTGATAACCCATTTCTGAGTATCTACTGGAAGAAAACATTACTATTCCAGTTACCATATTGAAATTTAAGTAGCTACTTTGAACCTGACTCTCCAATCAAACCTCAAGAGCAGGGATGGCAGCACATCTTACCCATCTTTGTATACCCTAATTCTAACAGCTCGGCACACTCAGATTCAAGAAATACTCTCCCAATGAATGAATGAATTCCACCTTAGGTTAGAACATGTTCAAAATGTCAAGAGCCTGTTAAAAAGTAATGGAGAGAGGTTAAGTTATACAGTCAAATGTTAACTGCCTGTTAAAAAGTAGTGAAATGTAGAAGTCACAAGCTTTTTTTCTTTTTGAGAGGATTTCAGCACTGGGGATTGAATTCGAGGTCTTTACTCTGAGCTATACCCCCAACCCTTTTCTAGTTTTTGAGACAGGATTCTGCTAAACTGCTGAGTATCCAGGCTGTGCCTGAAACTGGCAATTCTGCCTCAGCCTACCCAAGTATTGGGATTGACAGGGATGTGTGTGCTACCATAGCTGGGCTTCATGTATTTTACGTTTAAGTAATCAAGTGCAGTCCGTTTACAATTTCTTTTTTCAAAACTATTTCTAATAGAACTCATAGAAATTGAGCTGGAGATGTAGGTCTGTGGTAGAGTACCTACTTGCCTAGGAGGCACTAGGTTCTGGGTTTGATCTCCAATGCCATGAAAAAAAAAAACAGACAAATTATTTATTTTATCCTTAGTCTTGTATTGTTTACTTCTTGGATGGGGCTAAAAATGTTGAGAGAAATCCTTCCCTGCTGCTCTATTACCTATTTCTCCACTGTCCCTGCCTCGTTTCAAGTGGTGGCTGTTTTTTAACCATTCATTATGGCCCAACTCCCAAAAAACAATTACCAAGGAATAAATTTCACAATCAGCATTGAGGAGGATACATACGTACTTGAATCTGCCACCACCATTCATAAAGATAATAAACACTATGAAAAAATAAAAGTACTGCCCACAAAGTAATAAAATCTATCTATATGTACTTATATGAAATTCAGGCTATCTGAAAATTAACCTGGTATGAAACTATCTTCTCATGTTATAATGTATAGTATACTTTTTTTAATGAGGTCACACATTTTAGATACCAAAATGGAGGAAGTTTACTTAGAATTAGTGGACTATCTGGCAAAAAGGGAACACACAAACACCCTCACATAAAAGGCCATAAGATGATGGTGGTGATAAAAGCAACCATTCTTCTTAAATAGCTCAAAGGTAATCAAATATTATTCACAATTCACTAGGGGAATATGCTGACAAAAATGAGTTATTTGTATCTTAATTTCCTATACAGTGCATCTCCCCAAGTATAAAATGACTTTGAAAAACATAAGCAAAATAGTACCAATATTCATCATTCCAATGACATAAAACATATCTCATGTGACTTAAACATTTATCAATAGTCTGAATATTATTAAACTGATAAAAAGCCTTAAAACAAAGAAGTCAAAACATCCAACAAGCCTAAACAAGGAACCTTTGTCTCTACTTCTATCAATATGGTAAAACAGTAATTTGTGCTCTTTAAACAAGCATTCTTCAAAACAATTTTTTTTCCTAAAACAGGTAAGACGGTTTTTTGACCCTACCTCAGGAACAAATCAAAATCAGGAACAAAATAAAAACATTTATGAGAAAGAGTATTTACAGAAAACATTTTTTATCATATTGAAAAACCAGAAACAGTGTAAAACTCTTATTAGAGAAATATGCAGCTATTGAAACTAAAGAACTGGAATTAGTGAATTAAAAATAAGACTTATTTATCTAAAAAGACATGTTAAGATTATACCATAGAAAATAAAACTATGTATCTAAATGTAAAATTCAGAAATATCTTTAGAAGGCTGATCTCTGAGTGCTGAAATTTTGTGAAATGTTTATGGTAATTGTGAAAAAACCTCAGAAAAATTTCTGAAAAAACCCAGAAAACTGGGTCATTTTTATAATACACCCATTTTTTATCTTTAGTAAATATGTTCAGTTAAATATGCATAACCCCATAATTGTGTGATTTATCATCTCTGAAAGGTAAATCCAGAAAATTGGATTGGCAAGCCAAACATTATCACAATTATAAGCACACATCACTTTGATTCAGCAATTCCAAGTAACAGGTGTTATGTTACAATTGTGCAAAGACATTTTTGTTAAAGAAGGTTCAAAGGAGCACTGTTTAAATTAGCACAGTACGGCCCATAATCCCAGCTGCCAGTAATCCCAGCTGCGGCTGATGGAGGAGGACTACAGTCAGTTCCAGCACAGCCTGGAATACACAGAGCTCTAGGCCAGGCTGCATTACATAGTGAGACCTAGCCTCAGAAAAAAAAAGAAAAGGAAAGAACAAGTAAATAAATAAGCACAGTAAGGGACGTGACCTAAATAGTCATCAACAGAAACAAGATAAATTATGTACATTTATAAAATGAAAGTCTGGATAGCCATGAAACAAGAATGCGATAGCTATATGTGTTAGGAGTTAAATGACATCTAAGATAAATTACAGTTAAAAAAGACAGAAGAATAGGTATTAACCAATAGTGAGGGGAACAAGAGGATATGGGGCAACACAAGTTCGTTTTCTTTTCATAGATGATCTCAAGAGACACAAAAACTAAAAAGTGGTAGCTCCCGGCTAGGAGGTATAGAAATCAGGCAAAACATTTCTTACTGTAAATACATAAACCAACTTATGTTGTTTGTTTGAACATATTTTAACATATATTATGCTCCTTTTAAATTGTAATAGCTTTTGAAAATTTGGAAGCAAATTATTTGCTGTTCAAGACATTTAAGAAAAACAAGGGTTTCAAGCATCAACATTACACTATGAAAATAGCTGCTTTTATGATAGTTTATGAATAAACTATCATTTGCTGCCTTAGTCTAATACAATCTGTGAAAATTACACAGGACTGTGAACCTAAACTCTTAGGAACAAAGGTCTTTACATTGTTACTAGCCAACAGATCCACATTTGTTTAACCTAGTCCTTGTTTTGTTCCCTCAATATTGTTTTTTTTTTTAATGTTTTCTTTCTTGCTATGCAGTATTTATAGTCTACATAAAAGGATTTTCTACTGACCACAAATCAAATGGAATTCATGAACCCATGGAAAAGAATTAAGAATTTCCATTAAGTCCTTCAGGTCAGTTTGGCTCAGCCTATCTCTACACAGTAACAAATGAAATGCCTAAGGAGAAATAAACAAAATGAGAGACTCACTAATATAACAGTTTCTACTCTAAGGTTGTTCTAAAAAAGAAAAGCCCAAGAAAAATGGATTATATCTAATTATATTCCCAAATTTATATTAGAGTACAAACTTAAAGGCTCAAGTCACTACCATTAACACGCTCTGTAACCATAGGGAACCAATTCCCAGGAAATGGAAGTTACTCCAATGAAACAGAGTATGCAGCTTAATACTGTGAGGTCTTTTATCATAGTATCTTGACTTGAAAAGGTTACACAAAAGAGTTACCAAATCAAAACAGGTCTGTCCATGTTCTTACTGAATACCAACACTTAAGATATCAAACTTCCTAAGTGGGTAGACACTTAAAAAATGAAAACAAATATTGCACTCACCTTTAACACTTTTTCTGTTAACATCTGCCCCCTTTTCAAGTAAATACTGAGCAATCTCTTTATGACCTTTGTAACATGAAATCATCAAGCATGTATGTCCATGCCGGTTTGACACCTCCAAATCAGCTTTGTGTTCCACAAGGTACTTCACAATTTCCAAATGGCCATCGAAACATGCTGCTCGGAGAGGAGTTGAATTGGTCAAAGTGGTGTTGTTCACAGATGCTCCATGATTTAGCAAAGATTGGACCACATTCAGATGTCCCGCGGCAGACGCAGCCCATAAAGGGGGAGCCCCTTCAATAGTTTCGCCATCAAAATTGACAGAGCCCCCAACTTCTATAGAGGCACTGCATTGCTCTAGGAGGAATTCCACCATGTCCAGGTGCCCATACCTGGCAGCCATCAAAAGTGGTGTGGCCCCGTTTGTTTTTTCAGAAATCAGGGAGGAAACCTCCTCTTTGGACTTGCTTGCCAACAACTTGGTAAGAAGCCGGAGTTTGCCATCCCGCGCCGCGTTAAACACTGCTGTCTTCAGATCCATTTATGTCCAGTTCAGAGGCTGTGCTTTATTTATCCCTCGAAGCAAAGCTCCAGGTTAACTCTATCGACGCAGGCAAGTCACTGGACCCCAGAACGGATAAAAACCACGGAGATATGTACTTTCCTTCGGGCTTCCAACATCTGACAACCAGACACCAAACTAGAGTAAGAGAAAAGTGGCAGTCTGAATTTCCCATAGACGACCGCAAAAACACTATTTAATTTTCTTAATTTCTAATTCCGTGGAAAAAAAGAGGAAAAAAAAAGCCTTACGTTAGGGACTATTCTGCACCCCATACACACACAACCCCCAAAAAAGTGGGAAAGGAAAATACAATAAGCTTCACGCGAGACTTAAGTGTTTCCGTGGGCGGCAGTCTCTTCTCCCTTTGCGGAAAATTTAAACACTACAGGCATTTGGTTTTGTCTGCAGTTCTACCTATCCATGCTTTGTTCTACTTCGGTTCTGCACACGCCCAGGGAGAGTACAACGAAGTGGCCGGGACGGGCAGGTTCCTGAAAGCTTCCTCCCCACATCTGCAGAGGAGAGCGCCCAAGGACGCGAGGCTGCAAAGGCCTCGCCGGGGCCAGCAAGGCTCTTACCAGGAATAAAAAAAGTCGGAGGCGCCGATCCTTGGCCAGATAAGGCCAAGATCCTTAGAGGAGAGTTCTCCATTTTTTTCGGACCCCTCCGGGCTCTCAGGAAATCCGGTGCCTTTGATCCCTAACTTCGCCCACCCCGTGTGGAGCCCCCAGCCCCGGAACCCGCCGGTTTTCTGAGCTCCGTGCATCCTGGACCCTCGCCTCCACCTCCCCGGACTCGCGGGGCCCCGGCTCCCCACCAGCCCAGGCCTCCGCGGGCGCCTCAGGCCGAAGTCCCGGCCCGGCCTGGCCCGGCCCGCCGCTACCTGCCCGGGTCTCTGGGCTCGCTGCTCTTCACAGGGAAATCGCCGTCTCCGCCGCCGCCCAAGCTGCCCCGCTCCGCCAGCAGCCGCTCGACCTCTCCATGGCCCTCACCCCGCGGGAACGAACCCGACCGCGCCGCTCGCCCCGCCCCGCCCCGCCCCGCCCCGCCGGGCGACCTCCCGCCTCCCAGTCAGCTCGAGCTGCGGCGCCTGCCGCGGTGTCTGGTGTAATGGGCTGCAGGCCGGGGCCGGACGAGCCCTAGAGCGGCTTCACATCACTGACGCGGCAGCTGAGCCATTGGGCCGGGAGAGGGCGGCGGCCGCTCCCGGAGCAACCGCCTAGGGCTGGGCGGGACACCGCGGCGAAGCGGTGCGCCGAGTGGCGGAGCCTCGAGCTCTGCGCGTGCGCCGGGCGGGGAGGGGCGGGGCTCCTCGGGAGCCGGGCCGCGAGCTCCACGAGAAACAGGCCGGCGTGCCGTGGGACTAGGGAGGGGCGACCAGGGAGTGGGCGGGGCCGCAGGCTCCGAGAGAGACGTCCGGGCGCACGGGATTGGGCGGGATGCCGCGAGGGGCACTGGGCGTGGCGCCGCAGGGCTGCCGAAGTATCGCGAGCTCGAGGCCCTGTCTTCTCGTCCCCACCTTTTGGTTAACATTCGGTTCTGAAAATCTGGCGGGGTAGGGTCTGCAGTGTTTCTGTTGGCTCCCCTGGACTCTCTCGTCTTGTCTCGTCGTCCTTCGTTCGGCCCTGAAACACCGAACTCGTGACGAGTGCCGAAACAAGAAGACACAACAAAAATTTCTCCAATTATGAACGACAAACCAGGAAATGAAAGAAACATAAAGAATTATTTATGTGAATGAAAGGAGTTATTACCTCACTAGGTATGAAGTAATTTTCTAGAATTTGTGCCGTGAAGTCTTGGGATGTTCGGTATCTCACTAGTTTGAAGAAGAGTTTAAGTATGTTCAGGGAACAATGTCCATAACAAAGCGCGAAAAATAATTTTGAAAATGGACTGGCAATTTCTTGAACATTACATTTGAAGAAACAAAGTCACAGTTCTTTAGTACCACTGGAGAAAAGGGCATTTTCGTCTAATCTTCAACATCATCAGTATAGCCGTCCAAAATGTTAGCAGACATACAGCACTAAAAACACTTTCTAAAAAAAACTCCACAGCTCTGTTTTTATATTTGCCTATAGCATCAAAAGTTTACGAATTTTTGCATAATTGAATTATGATTTTCGTACAGCCATGTTTTATAGTTTTCGCTTGCCACACTAAATATTTCACGTTTTTACAATCTTAATTTATAAATGTAGCATATTACCCTTGGTTTGTACATACGCTCAACATCAGATCTTCAGAATTGAAACTGATATCACTAAGAAGGAAATGTGAAAGAAAAATATAAGTGAAACGTGATGTATATACATTTTAAAACTATCCACTTACAGTGGAACACACCTGTAATCTGAGCAATCAGGGAAAACACAAAATAAAAACAAAAAGCAGTGGGTATATGGGAGCATACCTGTAACCTCAGCACTCTAGGAGACTCAAGTAGAAAGATCACAAATTTCAGCCCAACCTGGACAATTTAGTAACTTAGGAACACCTTGTGAAACCGTGTAGTAGAGCTAACAGATTAATTCCAGGCTCTTGTATATGTGGAGCAATGAATTCAAAGTGTACATGCAATGGTTTTAAAAAAGCAACTACATTTATAGAAAATAATGGGAAGATATGATAAGGCACACACTAACAGAAAAGTGCTGTTAGGGAGACAGGGTAATAAAAAGTACAGCGCACAGGTAAATCGAGCTTGGAATTTATAGGATGTGCACCCCAAACCGAATGAAATGTAGTTTATTATGAAGGCCCTGGGTTCAATCTTTAGTGCCTAAATAAATAAAAAGCCAAGAGAACAACTTTTTTGTTGTTTCTTGAAGCAGGGACATTCTATGTATTTCAAGGCTGGCCATGAACTCACTATATATAGCCAGGCTGGCTATAAACTCCTATGTAACCCAGGCTGACTTTAAAATCTCAATGATCCTCCTGTCTCACCCTCCAAGTATTGGGATTACAGACATACACCGCCAGACATGAAGACAACTTTATTAGCTCCAGTTATAGGTTACTGTTCTACACTCCTAGAATATAGCCAGCAATCATTGTCCTGACAAAGACCTAATTTACACTGACCTCTCTTTCTCATCTAATTCAACAAAATGTTATAAAAAATTTGTCAGTTAACTTTAAAGTGACATGCATATCCTCCATGGGATCCCTAAGGCCTAGATGGACATGGTTTTAAGGCTACCTTGTTTCTCAGTTTTCAGCTTCTCCTACAATATTCCTTCCTGAAATCCATCCACTGGTGACAGGTATGCCGCTAAAGTGTCTTAATGGTTTATTTCCCTACTGTTTCACAATACTTTAATTTTTCCAGTTTACCAAAAGGAAAAGCATACCTTTCTGGTATTGAGAATGTTTAAGTGATGCATTACTCATGAAAGTAAAAACCCCAGGAAACTTTTGTAAGTTCCTTATTAATTTAAAATATGCTGCAGGAAGAAAGCATATAGTTCTAATGAACAGGTAATGAATTCTCAATGTCCAAATAATTCCTTTTCACAAAGTGTGTCCTAAAGATCACTGAGTTTATAAATTAGAAGGAATTAAAAGAATTGAGTGACATTGATAAAGGCAAAATTCCTTATAGCTCTATCTGCTTACTAATGTGATAATCTTTTCAAAATTTTCTCTGAAGTTTTTCATTGATAATAATGAAAAATTGAGAAAATATAGATGATGATCTGTCACATTCTTGTTAGAAGCAGTATTTAATATCAATGTATGCATGAATCTATTAAAATCATATTTAATAATTATAAGTATTTTAATATATTTGTATTATCTGAACACTCAATTATTACTAATAAATACAATGATGTCTCAGCTTAGAAAAAAGTGTTCAACTACTTGCATTCTTTCAGCCATGGGAAATTTTAATAAATTTTAAAATTTCAATTTGCGTTTTCACTGAAGAAAGATATAATAGTGTGATTCATAAAAAATTCAAACATAAAAATTATAAATCAAGATATACTCGATAGGGTTTTCAGCATGGGAAAAGAGAAAAAATTAAACAGTAGCCTTTATTCCAAGGATGTGGAGAGGAGTCCAAGGACCAAAGATGGCCTGGCCTCTTCTGATCCGGACTTGGGGTGTGGGATATATATATATAAAACCTCTGAGTGGGGTTGCTCTTAGGGTGGGCATTGGTGACACAGGAGCAGCTGATTGGGACTTTCTTCACGCCACTGGTAAAGGAAAAAGAAAGTTGTCATAGGGGAAGGAGGAAGTGACTTGGTTCTGCCTCCCACTGCCGTAATATCGTGTCTAGGGCAAAATCCTTTCAACACTCCTGGAGGGGTAGGAATATGAAATTATGAGTATGAAGAGAAGAATAAATTTTGTAAAATATTCTGTAAGTAGAGTTTTTACTTTTTAAAAAATGGTTGATAGTAAGAATAATTGCCATAAATTGGACTTACTTGTAAGTGCAATTGTTCTAAACTGTTAATTTTACAGCATATAAGAAACTGCATTCTTTGCAACTAATTTATGATAAAAAATTTAGAATGTTTAAAAATATGATAAAAAGAAGGCTTTATGTATGTGATCAAAAATGTTTGAAGACCACTGACTTATTAATCACAGTCCTAAAGATTTGGGCAATATTTGTTCCTCCAATTTTTTTTTTCTGTTAAATAGAAATTCATCTAAATTTTTTTGTGTGTGCTTTAAAGACTTCACCATGGAAAATAAAATTTTTGCTAATATGTTTGTTTCTTCTTTGTAAGAGAGAATCATTTTGTTGATGTCTTGTACCAAGTAGCTACTTTAAAGATGATACAGTGTATATTAATTATTTCTTTTCAGAACATTCAATGATTTTAGGACTTAAAAATATTTCAGTTACCATGGATTTCTTTTCTTCTGCCAGTCTGTTTCTTTTGATTGGAGACTTGAGACCATTAGCATAGATGGTTAAAACTGGTATCTGTTGACTTATCCTTGTCATACTATTTTCGTGTTGTTGGTTCCCTTTTCTCCCTCTGGTCAATTGCTTGCCTTCCCTGGTAGAGTCATTCTGTTGGAGTTCAGGGAATTGTAGTCCTTGTTATCTCTTTTTAGAATGTCCTCCCAAACATTTGGAGTATTGGTTTGTTGGTTTTGAATTTTTTAAGTGTTTTTTGTCATGGGCAAGTCTCAGAAGGAGGTGATGGTGAGACTGACCTTAGAGGATCAGTGGGAGTAAATCAGCCAAAAATAGAAGGGAGAAAATACTATTTAGGAAGTAGGAAGCTAAGAGAACATGAGCAATGGCCTCTTCCTCCTTCCCTTTCTCATCAAATATTGATACCTTAAGCTATCTTCTGGATACACTAAATTTCCACTTCCTTCACTGAAAGTGCATTCAAACACACCATTTTTTATTTCTACACTCAATCAGAATTTGCCTGTTCTCAATGTCACTGCTGTCTCACAGATTTTATGAGTAAAATTCAATTAAAATTATCTACTTAAGCCAAGAGTGGTGATGCATACCTGTAACCCCAGCACTCTTGAAGCTGAGGTAAAAAAAAAAAAAAATCACTGCGAGTTCAAGATCAGCCTGGGTTGCACAGTGAGCTCATAAAAAAAAAAATAAACCTATAAAAAGCAAAAATGTTATCTTGCAATTCTAAATCTTAGAAACACACAGGGCAGAATTCTTTTAGCAGGGATAGTTCAGTCTCTATTACTTAAAAAAGAGGCAGCAACTTGATGAGCAAATTCTAACAATTTTTTCTTGGCACAATCTCCCTCTTTGGTATGGTGCTATCACTTTACTTATCACACTGTCATACACTAGAAGTCTTGCATCATTGTAAAAGTATACATTTCTTTCCTTTGTTATCTCATTTCCTGAAATTGTCAGGATTCTAGCTCTCTAAGAGCAATGGAGAAGAAAGAATCTGAAGATCCTAAAGAATTAACTTCCTCCCTCGTTTTCCAACCCAACTCACCCAAAGATTGTCTAGCCTTTCTGGCATAAAAACCCCAAATTTCTTGGCAATGTGAGATGCGGTTGGTAACTTGGAAACAGAGGTTCTGTTCTAAGGATTCTTTGTAGCTTAAGAGTCTTGCAGGAGTGAAACATAAAGGAGGCCAAAGTCAACCCCAGGTTGAGGTCACTGTCAGTGGCAGGTTCCTGTCCGCACACCAGGCATAGCTGGGACTAATCTATGGGTGTTAATGACTGTGGCTACAGTTTCAGATTCAGTCCTTCCTCCCTTAGCCGCTATCCATGACCCTGACTGGCTTTAGGAGTATGTGGATGTCCATTCAGATAACCAAGAGAGCTCCAACCACACTAGTCATTCCTTGGCCTCAGCCCTAGACTGCTGATCGATACAGAAATTATCTAGCCTCAACATCTGTCCATCTTATCTCATCTCTGTCAATTATGTGTACTCTGGTTGACCACATCTCTCCCTAAATTCCTTATAATTGTACCTAGGCCATCATCAATAATTGTGCATAGGCCTTGAGCCTAAAAAGGTAGACTTTATCCATTGTTTAGTGATGCCTCGGAGACCATGCGACAGCTGATAGACAAAATGGGGCTAGACCTTGTCTCGGGCCAATTAAAAGTGTTGACCCAAGATACCAAAGAGATGGTAACCAAAAATAAAAATTAAAGGTCTAAGTAGGTGACTGAGGATATAGAGATTGCTGAGCTAAAAGCTAAGTAAAAAGAGGTACACAAAAGTTACTAGTATTCTTAAGACAAAATAAAATACAAAAATATATATTGATTATAGATAAAAGATTTTATTCCTTCCAAATTCTTAAGAGATCTCTGATAACGTACCTACAACAAAATCTGACTAGTCTACTTATAGTTATAAATTCTAAATTTGTAAAAGTTATTATACTTTAATTTGGTCAAAAATATACTTGAGTACATTCCAATTTTGTAAGAGATTTGTCTGTGTGCCCAGTCTGTTAAACTGTGTACTTGTTTCTTTATCTGTCATATTCATGAATAGGTATTCATTTTTATTTGAGCTCAACAATTTTTTTCTCTTTCCCTTTTTCCTTTTGTATTTTTAGATCATTTGTTCAAATTTTAATTTGGTTTAAAATTTAAAAAGCATGTTTCCATCCGGGCTGCCAACTTGTCAAAATGATGCTAAAATTGGGTGTATAGATGTTATGTGTATTGTTGTTTATATATTATTACTTGAGAGTCTCTTGTTCAAAAATTATGTATTAAATGTTGTGATTGGATTTTCATATGTCATCAAAAAATTGTTACAATAGTTAAAAATCCCTTAGAGTGTGGAGAGATTATTGGACAGGACTCCAATTGATAAATAAAAAATCAACTACCTAAAATAATATTAATCAGTTCTGGGGCATTAATTAAAAACCCCAATGATCTCCATAGCTCTATGGGAGGCACTACAATAATTATTATTAAAAATATATTATTGTGATATGGTTACATTGGTCATCAAAAAAGATTAAGTTTTCCAGTCAATAAAGTTTTTGATTTAAATATGCTTTGATACAAAGTTTTCATATGCTATGACAATTGATTGTTATTAGCCTTGTGGTATATTAAGTGTATTCACACCTCCAGATATACAGGTCTTCCAAAAATAAAACAGAAATAATTTATGGTAATAGACTTTTCTTTCAGATTCAGACCTCTGCCTTTAACAAAAACTTATCAGACACACATTCCACTAATGCTCAATAAGTTAAGTAAAAGCTTCTTATATACTAGATGGAGACAGTTAACTAAAAGGGATGTTTTACGTCAAAATAAAAATTCAGGTGTGTCACAAAAATGTCATCAAGATTGTCATCAACCCAGAATAATATGATGTATAGTTTGGATTCCTAATTTTCTGTAAAATATATATTGTTTTTTAACATTCTACAGGACTTTAAATACTAAAACATCCATGGTTGTTAAAAAATAATTCTGTTTTATGATCTAAGATGCTTGATATTCAGATAAGATAATAATGTTAAGCTTACTGCCTCTGTTACACTATAATGTTATCAATTTTTTCTTCTAGATGTTCAATATTTAGACACCAAAATTTAAAAAAAAATATATAGGCTAGGAGGACAGCCAATGTTTTGGCTATAGCCCTCCAAGGTCAATAAAGAATCAGGACAGCGTGCTGCAACATCCTGTATTCAGTGAGTTCCTCATCTTCTAACCAAGGAGATTGTGAAACCACACAAAAAGTGATCAACAATATATCACAACAATAGTGTGCCTAAAAACAGCCACAAAAAAAAAAAATCTTCCAAGCTTTCATAAAAAAACAACTTAGTCAAGCAATGGTCATGACTCATCCAGATGGCTGACACTGACAGAAGTACTAAAAGGTGCTGTGCATGGTTCCAAGAGAATTCCTAAAGAGACTTAACTAATCTTAGTAAATAGTAAAACATTAAATTTAATTAATACAGGTCTCACTTGTTCTTAAATATCCAACAACAAAAAAAAGCATAACCACAAAAAAAATCATCTACAGAGTCCTCCAATTTCAAACACATCTCCTCCAATTTCATTTAAACACCCTTTGTTTGCAAGTACAAAAAACAGCAAAGTAGAAATATTGAGAGCCACTAAAGCTGGTGATCAATCCCACATGCAAGACTAAAGTAAAGCTGGTCCCAAAAACAGAGTGCTGGAGGCAAGTCACATAAACAAGCTGCTCCAGTCCAAAAAACATCAAACCCTTAGATTGTCATGTATGTGGATTGCTAGGCAACAGGGTGTCATGTGACACTAACTTGCCAAATGTATAAACAAATGCACCACATTGGTTGAGCAGTTCTTTTCCTCCCATCAAGAGAGAGGGAGCCACCTTATCCCAGCTTTCTGTGTCTTTATTTCTTCACCTTCTTGCTGCCCTTCACAGTCCTTACTCAAAGATTTGAGAGTTTTGTGGGCCAAGGCAGTAGAGATTTTAGTCCATAGTCACTTGCTCCAAGTCTGGGTAGCATGGCAGTGAGGCATAGTAGAGGAGAAAACTGGTCTTTGCATGGTAGCAGGGAGCAGAGAGAGCGAGAGATCAAGGAAGAAGGGAGGGAGAGAGACCCAGGCTATGTCCCCAGTGACCCATTTCATTCAGACCAGGCTTCAACCCCCAGCATCACATTTAGCTGTGAATCACCACTGGACCAACCCATTGATGAATATCGCGCCCTTGTAATCCAAATACCTCCCTAAATCCCCATCTATGAGTGATGAGGCTTTGGAGATACATTTTTTTCATTTTTTAAAATCATTACTAGCTATTATAATGTCTTGTTTCTTCAAAATAGCTGTTCATACCATCACAGACAATAAAAATCAAACAACCCAGAATAAAACCATTCCAACTAATGAATGAAAACATAAGGCTTCAA